CCCCCCCCCCCCCCCCCCCCAGTTAGAGGGCTGGAGACAGGGCTTTGGTACACTTGTTCGTGTTCTGTCCGGCATTCAGGAGTGGGTAACGCTAGACCTAGCTGTGCCAGAACCATTAGCCCCGGCATAGACTTGACGGGACATTTAGCTGCCTCGCTCTCTGGTCGCCGAGACTCAGCCTGACCTTGTTTCTAGCATGTCAGTATAATGTTGGGTGCAACCTTCCAACCGCTAAGATGAGAACACCTGTTCTTCCTCTAGAGTCAAGCCTGTCGGCTGTTTTTTTCCAGGGTCAGAGCGGTTCAGCATGTCGAATGACGGTCGCTCACTCTCCTTTTTTCCCCCCAACAACCATCTCTTAGCTAGACTCACTGACTTCTTCAGTGCACATCTCAGAAAAATGTAGCAGTCACATGTTTATGCTAATGTTAGCACCCCACATGCTGCTAGCGCCATGATTGGGCGATACTCCGCGGCCGCAACTGTGCCCATCCCCCCCTTCTCTCCCCCATTCCGGGTCCCACATAAGCAGCAGAACCCGGTCGCACAGCTCCTTCTGCCAGACGGAGCTCCAGGGGCATATCTAGCGTGATTTCTTTGGGGGATGTGTGTGTGATGGCAATGTTAATGGAAGTTTGAATAAAATTCCAACATCATTCTAAGAGCAGAGTCCTCTCACAGTCAGGTCATACGACCCTGCTGTGTTTTCTCTCACACACCCTGTACACAGAGGGTAACGGCAGTCCTTTAAACATACATCTTAAAGGTGCTGTGACTCATTGCCTCCATTCTGCCATCTTTCCTGTCAGCGACAGGTGTTACACGTATGAACGTGTTTCAAAGAATTTCCCACCCATCTGGATGAGATTGAGAAGAACCCGTTTTTGGAAGGCCCTGTTAGTCCGGACGGACTATTCAGCCCACCTTTCCAGTTGGTCCTGGATTAGCTGCAATCCTCTTCAGCATCAGTGGCGGAGACGTTCCACGGCTGCAGTTACGTCTTCGGAGCCCCAGCCATCACTGTTCCCAGAGGACAGTCTCCACGATCCCCACAGTGAACCGGGACTGGCAAAGGTTGGCAACTGGTGTATTCCTGGTCCAGTTCGCCCCAGGAGACGCAGAGAAGACAGCAAAAGAAATGACGTTTGGGTGTGTGTGTGTAATTGTTATGTGAAGGTTTTGAAATAAAACACGACTTCACACAAGAGCAGAAAGATACATTTTAAACAAGCATTTAAAATAAACTGACTTTCCATTCATCACACACAGGGACCATATGAGTCCATAGTGAGAGCTCATGCTTCCCATGCAGACTTTTTTACTCCTCTCTCCCCTCCTTCAGCCGCCTCCTCCCTCCTGACAGTGAAAAAGGATGCTGGGGACAAGTGTTCGGACACTTGGTGGGAAGGTAATCTGTAGATAATCATCTAAAAGATGCCAAACCCCCTCGAACTTCACACATCCAGGCTATGAACCTGCAGTAAGGATACCCGTCCTGCGGGTTCAGTACCAATACAACCTGATTCCCTTCAGCTACTCGCCCAGTGCACATTCTCAAAGTGAGTGGAAACAGTACTGCAACCACTGCGCATGGCGGGGATGAGAGTTCTCTTTTATCTGGACGACCGGCTTCTCCGGACCCAGTCCAGAGAGGAAGCAGAGACCCAGACAACTACTCTGGTGTCACACTTGCCTCATCTGGGTTTCACAATAAACTAGGAGAAAAGCTTGACGATCCCCTCTCAGCTCATCACCTTTCTGGGCGTGGACCTAAATTCAGTCACCATGACCTCTTAAACTGGCCGGTCAGACCTGCCTTCTCCTCAGCAAGTAGATTAACACTATTTTATATAGAGCATTCTTTAGTTTTCTTTGTGCTGATTCGTAAAACCACATCAAAGGCTGAAAACATCCAGGACCACACATAAAACACATTATATGGACCTGCTCAGTCGTGACAGTGCAGCGTGTTAACATCATAACTGGAAGATGTCTGTAAATTTCAGCTAAATCTCAGACTTTGGTTATCCCGTGCGAATGCGCCACGTAAAAAGCAGACGTTGGGGAGAATATACTGGTCCTTAGGTAAAACTAATCCCGTGTGAATAGGACTTCAAGCAGTTCTCTTTTGTATAGGCTTCGCCCTTTAAGGCTATCGCTAGTGGGTTTATCCCTTTGCGCGCACTGTAGCACTGAAAATTTTAGTCTGTGCCCACTGGCTGTGTGGGCCCCACCCCCGGTCCGTATAAATTACCAGGCAATCAGCTCCCATTTTTTTCTTCAGCTAGCTAGCTAGAACTGTCAGAAAAATGAAGAAAACACGTCCAGCAACATCTGCGAAGGATGCCTGGTCCCCGACACGCTGACCTCGCCACCTCCTGCCGTCCCTGTGAGCTCCTCCCTCCCGAGGAGAAGCAGAGATGAGCAGCCTTGTTCAAGGTAAGTGCCGAGGAGTGTTTTTTCCATGAGGGTCCGCTACTCGCTGGACGACGCCATCGCCTTTTCTAACATTTTTTTCTGCGCAGTGAATCGGATGATTCTGTCGAAAAAGGTGATGCTAGCAGCAGCTCTGCTGCCCCCTCCCTCCTGGAAAGCATAGTGACGGAAGAAGGGGGCCGAGCGGATGCTCAGCCACCCTGGGTCTTCCCATGTCGGTGACCACACCGCTCTCACATCCTTGTCCGAGAGGCTGCAGAGAGACCTGCTGGAGGGCCCCATCACCCCAGAGGTGCTGTTCGGGGCCAACTTCAGGACCATGCTTGAGAAATCGCAGAGGTCCGAGGAGGTCTCAGAGACAGTACACCATCTGGTGACGTCACAGTCCTCCTCCTGCTCCTTCGGCCACTGGAGGGACCGCCGTGGCCAGCAACAGCAGCAGAGGCCTTCCACAGCTGCGGCAGTGACTTCACGCTCTACTCCTCCGCCAGCCCCCTCCACCAGGAAACAGCTCCTTGAGGGGAATGTGCGTGTTTTTTGATGATGTATGTTTTGAAATAAAATGGAAACATCTCTGAGAGTAAAGTTTCATCTGAGTCCAGCCTGACTGTCAGATCAACTGATCTCACAGCTGCTTCTCTTAACACATTCCCCACACAGAACGAGCCGGTAACCTCTAAACAGTGTTTGAAAGGCACCGCAGCTCGGTAAATCTCACAAAACACTCGTCTGCCATGTCAGCTAAAAATTATGTTTTTTTTTCAGCAGACCAAGTCCGGTAAAATTCCTCGCTCTCAGCCAGAGCCCATGCTATTTTCTGCTGTTTCTGCCCACTCACCGCGCAACGGGCGTAAACGTGTTTCTCCACGACAGCTGCAGCCTCCACCGAAACGGCGTCTCACTCAAAAAGTGCTCACGCCTCAGTGCGCGCCGGCTCACCTCAGCTCTAACATGAGACTGCAGCCTGGGCTCAGCACAAAGGCGCACATACAGCCCTTTCTGTCGGAGCCCCCCTTGGGTCCCCCCCGAAGAATCCGGAGCGGGTGACGGCTGTAGTTTTTTTTTTAGCCTGGTTGACGTCCATGAGAAACATGACACAACACAAAACGCGTGCCCGCTCTCCAAGTGTTACTCAGAGTGGCAGCAAGTATGTTCCCTGGACAGATGGATGGACCGTCTGATCAGCAGGGGTTACACGCTGCAGTTTTCAGCTCAACCCCCACCGTTAAGAGGGATTATAGAGATGGTTCTGTCATCTCCAGAACAGAGCTTGTCTCTCCAGTCAGAAGTTCAGGAACTCCTAATGAAAAACGTGATTTCCAGAGTTCCCAACGGAGAGGAAAACATGGGGTTTTACTCCCATTACTTCCTGGTTCTGAAAAAAAACGGAGGGATGAGACCCATTCTCGACCTGTCCTTGTTCAACAAATCGATCATGGAGAGACAATTCCACATGCTGACAATCAAACAGCTGCTGGAGAACGTTCACCAGAATGTCTGTTCACCTCCATAGATCTGAAGGACGCATATTTTCACATTCCCATCATTCCGAAACAGGAAATTTCTGCGTTTCTCCTTCCAGGGGGTTCCGTATCGGTACAACAGGCTATCGTTCGGTTATTCCCTCGCCCCACGCACGTTCTCAAAATGCGTGGAGATGGCTCTGCAGCCGTTACACATGGTAGGAATGAGAATTATTTTTTATCTGGATGATCTGCTTTTATTAGCTTGTTCCAGACAGGAAGCAATTGCACAAACCAAAACATTAACGTTACACCTGCTATAGGTTTTTCTATAAACTGGGAAAAGAGTTCCGTTCTCCCGTCCCAGATGATCGTTTATCTAGGAGTGGAGCTAAACTCAACCACAATGAGAGCCTGTTTATTACAGCCAAGAGCCGAAGTACTGTCAGCTTAGCTCCGCCGTGTCAAACCTCGCAGTGTAGTAACAGCTCTCTCGGTCATACGACTCCTGGGGATGATGTAATCGGCTCAAGTTGTGGTTCCGCTGGGCTTGTGTCACGAGACGTCTTCAGAGATGGTTCCCCTTGCCTATGCATAGATCCTGTGCGTCAGAAGAGGCAGATGATCTCTGTGCCTCCCTCCGTGAGAACCGATCTGAATCACTGGGGAAACCCCCTCATTCTGTCAGAGGGAGTTCCCATTAGCAGGCCTACATCACACGTTTCAGTTTTTACAGACACGTCTCTGTCAGGCTGGAGAGGAAGTTGTTTGTCCCAGGCAGTGGGAGCATAGTGGCCGGACCACATGTCGCTTCACATAAATGTGCTAGAATGTCTCACGGTCTGGAATGTGACTCAGCATTTTGCTCCCCTGCTGTGGGATCAGCATGTTCTGCTCCACACAGACAACAAAGTGACGCCAGCTTACATAAACCATCAGGGAGGCGTGCACTCAGCCCAACTGTTACACATCGCGAGACAGCTGCTGTGTTGGGCATACAAAAACCTGCTCTCCATCAGAGCAGTGTACATTCCCGGCATCCTGAACAGGGGAGTGGACATCATGTCGAGGGGCAGTCCCCGCCACGGTTCCATCCCGAGCTGATCTCTCGGATTTGGAGCAGGTTCAACCGAGCAGCAGTGGATCTGTCCGCCACACAGGAGAACGCCCTGTGTCAGTTATGGTTCTCAATGAGCCCACGGGACGACCCACCATTAGGGGTGGATGTCTTCGCTCACAGCCTGTGGCCAAAAATGCTCCTTTATGCATTCCCTCCAGTCCTGCTGATATCACGGACCCTGAACCGGGTCCAGGAGGAAAAGCTGTCAGTCATCCTCTTAGCTTCTGAGCGCATAAGCGCCCCGTGGTTCCCGAATCTGCAGCGACTGATATCGGGTCTGCTGTAGAAACTGCCGTAGAGGGGGGACGCTCTCCTCCAGGCAGGAGGAGTGATCAGGAGTTACCCAGAAATAGGTCAGTACCTTTGGGTTTGGCCGCTGAACGGATCTGTTTAGAAAAGATGGCAGTGCGGCCAGATTGGGCGGTTTACTGCCAATTGGGCGGTTTTCATTCTGATTTTGTTGGGAACTCTGGGAGGATTTTTGTTGGATTGTTGTGTTTTGCCACATATTGTTAAATTACCTTGGCTTGTACTGATGTACGTTCATGTTTAAACAGTAACTATACGGTAACAATATATTGATTGGGTGGATTTTTGTGTGATGTGGTGGTTTTTAATAGAGTTTTGGTCTAGAAAACCTTGACTCTATCTGGCAACACTGAAAGATGGGCCTCCCACAGGATGTGGTGGGTACGATCCAGGGCGCACGAGCCGCTTCCACCACAGCACTGTCACATCAAAGTGGACAGTTTTTCAGCGCTGGTGCGCAGAGAAAGGCGTGGAGGCCATCTCATGTCCACTAGGTGGCGTGCTGACATTTCTACAGCAACTGATGGACAGAAATTTAGTGTTTAGCACAATTAAAATTTATGCTGCAGCTATTTCTTCCTGTCATGAGGGTTTCGGTGACAGAACAGTTTTTAACCACCCGCTGATGAAGCATTTTCTGAAAGGTGTACGAAGACACAGACTTGTGTCACGTCCACTAGCTCCACAGTGGGACATAACGATGTTCCTGCACGCTCTGATCAAAGCTCCTTCTGAGCCTTTAGATCAGGTTTTACTTAAATTTTCATCATTTAAACAGCTCTGCTGTTAGTTCTGACGTTGGCAAAGAGAGTGAGTGATTATCTGCTCTCTCTGTTGCTCCCTCATGTCTCAGAATTCAAGCTGACGGCAGTTCAGCTGTACTGCGTCCTGACCCTGCTTTTGCTCCTAAAAGTATCACAAGCACATTCAGATCGAGAGTGATAACCTTGGATGGGTTTTTATCCTCCTCCTCATAATTCTGAGGAGGAAGCAACATCTCACCTCCTCTGTCCTGTGCGTGCGCTTTCATGTTACGTGGTGCACACGGCCGCACTGCGCTGTTCTCAGCGTCTGTTCGTGCATTACTGGGACAGCTCTTCAGGACGCCCTCTATCCACCCAGCGCCTCTCACACTGGTTGTGTGAGGCTATTTCTGAAGCTTACAGTTCATCTGGGCTGGACCCTCCAGAGAATCTCAGAGCACATTCCACCAGAAGATTTTCATCCTCCATGATTCTGCATGGAGGGATGACAGTGGAGGATATTTGTATGGCGGCTGCCTTGTCATCGCTGTGTTCATTTATTCGTTTTTATCTATGTGATGTTTCTACTTTCTTCATGACCCATTCTGTTCTCAGGGTTCTGACAGAATGATTATTATTTGTTTCAAGGGGCTTCACTTTTGAGCGCACACCTGCCTGCATGCAGTCGCAGTGTGAGATATTTATTATCAGTCACAAGTTCATGACTGCTGATTTTATCGTTATTAATCGGTTCATCCTGAGGAGCTGTTGGCCTGCTCTGTTCATCGTTATACTGTTACAATTCGTATCCTCCGTTGTTCCTATTCACAGCAGCAGGTCTGTTATCTCAGCCTTTTTCCTCACCAGAGATCAATTTTCTCTGGTGCGCTGCTGCGCATGGAGCACGTAATTACGCACATAGAAGGCTGAGTGATCAAATGTTTTTTGTGCAACCAGATGCTTCATGTTTGTGTCTGAATGGACCCAGTGAGGCATAGACTACATCCTGCTTCGCCTTTAACCCATTAGCGATAGCCTTACAGGGCGAAGCCTGTACAAAATAGAACGTTGGTTATGTACTGTAACCCCAGATTCTGAGTATAGGCGCAGCCCTTTAAGCTCTGGGCCTCACTGGTTCCTAAATGGCTGAAGAAAAAAAAAGCTATTTGGGAGCCGATTGCCCGGTCTCACCGTAATTTATACAGACCGGGGGTGGGGCCCACACAGCCGGTGGGCGCGGACTAAAGTTTTCAGTGCTGCGCAGCGCGCAAAGGGATTCAAAAAGCGTTCAATACAAAAACAACTGGACTTTATTTGTAACAGAAGACGTTTCGCTCCTCATCCGAGGAGCTTTCTCAATTCAATGAGCAGTGAATCTCTCACTCACTGCTCATTGAATTGAGAAAGCTCCTCGGATGAGGAGCGAAACGTCTTCTGTTA